AAATTTTGTTGAACTCGTCGTGCCAAGATTTACTTTTAAACAGTTCCAAGAGAACTTTCGTATGTCTGCGCCAGCATTTGAAAGATTGTTAACTGTCATTGCTCCTCTTTTGGAAAATCGCACAGGAACTGGCAAACCGACAACAAAAATCGAAAAACAGCTATTAGCTGTTGTGTGGTTGCTCGCAACGCCCGATTGTTTTAGGTAAGCAGAAAAGTTGAATTACATAATTTTTTAGCCTTGTCTCCTATATTGTCATTTTTTCTCCGATCCTGTCGTATATATTGTTAATATTATACCTCACGTTTAACTTCATAATTCTCGATCTCATAACAGGCTGAAAGTTATAATGCACATATTTATTTTGCAGATCTATCGGAATGAAGTTCGATATGTCAAAATCAACCCTTCATTCCTGCTTTCGAAGAGTAATAGTTGCTCTTGTTTCTATATCTCATAGACTCATTACTTGGCCTACAGGCGAAAAGTTAGAAAGGACTGTTCAGAAGTTTACCGATATTGCTGGTATGGCGGGAGTGATTGGTGCAATAGACGGTTGTTACGTTCCCATTGATGCACCTCAAGTAAGTTTAACTTGTATTTTTACAACAAAAACTTACACTTTCAAAGAAATTTACAATAGAAAAAGTAACAATTAAGAAATGAATGTAATGTATTCTAATTTGCTACTTACAGAGTATTATAAGTTAAAAAAATACCATGTAAAATTTTTAATATTTGTTAGGTTGATCCACAATATTATCGAACCAGAAAATGTGAGTACGCAATAACCCTTCAAGCGGTATGTGATCCTGAGTTGCGATTCACCGACGTATTTGCTGGCTATCCTGGGTCTGTGGGAGATCTCCGAGTATTTCGGAATTCTTCATTATACAGAGACACTGAGGCAAACGTCCAAAATTTTTTCCCCAATGGTGAATATATAATTGGAGATAAATAATCCTCCTTTGCCTTGGTGTATTTCACCATATAAAAATATAGGACACCTAACTGCTGTAAGTTAGTCTTTTTTTACTTTGCACGTAGCAGTTTAAGAATTTTTCGCTTTACAATGATAACACATATTAATTTTAGATACAAATCTCGTTTAATACCATTCTAAGTAAAACGAGACAAACAATTGAAAGAACTTTTGGATTACTGAAAGGACGCTTTCGACGCTTAAGACATCTCTCCATGGTCTGCTACGAAGAAATCCCAGACACCATACTGGCATGCTGTGTTCTACACAATATATGTCTACAGCAGGAAGATGATTTCCTCGAGCTGTATATTGAAGAAGGATTGCCTTTTGTTTATGGGAACGAAGGTGACGAAATAGGGCAGTATGAACCTGCAGGAGAAACAGGCGGCGCGAAACGTGATCGTCTGGCTGCTGCATTAGCAAACCATTGATGTATAAGTAAGTAATTTCCGACCCTCACCGATGTAATCGATTAATTTGTCTCCGGTCACTCTCTCCTTTCTTCGCAGCATCATTTCGCTCCTGGCACTTCCCTGACCTAGAATCACGTCTTCCAGTCGCAATCTTTTAGTGCTTTGTTGCTTTTGTACTCGAAAGCTGCGGTGGCAATATTTAGTACTTGCAGCAAGCTCAAAATACATGTCGCGCTGAGTTCGGAACACCACTGTGCTAGAGCGGTTTGTTCTAATCCCTTCAGCACCCATAAGGTACACATTGATACATGTCGAGTAGCTTCGGAACTCAGAGATACACGGCACTGATTGCCCGCGGTGTCCGCCGACATTCCGCCAGTAATAGCTAATGCTACCGATTGCGTAATCGATCCGGATTCATCCGGATAAACGCTTTTGTCTTTGGAGTCTCAATGATAAAGCTGGGGTAAGGCATCCATCAAGATACTAAGTAACGGCAGATATAGCGCGGTAACCCTAGCCTTCGCCGCAGGATCGGAATATCGCGGATCAGCATCGTGGCAGCTCATAAGATGTCGGACGGTCCCAGTAGCTTTATTCTGTAGCATCGGATTTTGTATCTCCAAGGTGTTTGCCAGATCGGACAGAACAATGCCAACCAGAAAGTGCTGCTGCCTGAATTCTTGACTGAGTTCCAAAAACCGGGCTCTATCCCCAGGCACGAGAGTGAATATCAGACTGCCTGAACTGCCTGTCAATGGACTGGGCGATGCCGGAGCCGATCCCGACGTATAGCCAGTGCCAAAGGGAAGATTCAATGCTACATAGTGCTCGTGCGAGCACACCATTCTCACGAGATCGAGTTTCAGAGTGAATAACGCTGCGGAGTCGGGAATATGCATTGACGCATCCGACAGCGAGCAACAGGCGGTGCGAACAAGCGACAGCACACATCCTCTGTCCATCACGGATAGCAGGTCGGATAGGAAATTGCCAAGGCTCGATATCAAGTTGGACGCCACGCGGATTTCTTTGCCGCAGCGCGATATTACCTCGGACGTTAACGCAGCGGTGAGCGTCGCGACATCGTCGCAGAGCTGTGGTGAGAATCTCAGTTTTCGCAGTGCCTCCAAGGACGCCATCTCAGACAGTGTGACAACCATCAAGCGCATTATCAGCTCCAGGAAGAACCAGGAATGAGTTATCGCCAGTTCGCGTTCCTGACCAGTGGATACAACCCAGTGCAAGGCAAGTTCCTCGTGTAGAAGTCTTCTGGTGGGATGACTGTTGATCGAGGGGGATTCCTGTCACATCGACGCGGTTCTGTCCAATCCCTGTGAGTGGATCTCCATCTCCAGATCTTCCAGAGGCAGATCGGGATTGCTCGCACAATGCTCCCATTGTGAGTCATGCTCGGCAAAGAGCATTGATACGCAATGTAGGTGGCCAATATCGCGTGTCTTCCATGCGCGTCCAATTGACCGTCCGGTAAATTGGTGATATTTCGTACAAGCAGTCCCAGAGCCTCGAAGATGGTGGCGGCAACGTTCAATGATTGAGACGGTAATGTTGGCGGTCGCACTAGAAGACACAGTAATTGATCCAGTAATTGGGGAAGTAATCGCACCAAGGCGGAATGCGAGGCATGCGCTAATTCGAGAAGAGCTGATTTCAATTCTGATTTCATGCCCGCTTCGCCGATACGAGGCCACTCGTCGTCAGAAGAAGTCGGAGGAGCGTAAAGCGGGAACAAGGCTTTCTGAAAAATAAATATTTAATTATTTAGTCAAATATTAAACAATAAATACAATATTTAGTATTTAACATTTATTATTCAATATTTTATTAGATATTTAATAAAATATTTAATTGAGAAATGTATGAGGATAGTCTGGGGTTTAGAACGTTCGACGGTTAAACGGGACACTCTCAATTCACTCGCGAGTGAATTATCGCTAATCTCAATATCTATATTTACGTCACATACACAGAATACAAAAGAAACGCCGACAGAAAGACGATCGATCCAACGGACCGAAGGCCCGTTATTGGCAATTATTGGCCAAGATTATTGGCAATCTCTTTAGGGGACATAACCTGTCAAACCGTTAATTTTTAACTTATTTTAATACCCCTTATATGCCAGTTTTCCAAAGAAGACTGCATACCGTGGAAAAAAATCCTGATATACTACTACCGCTCTTGGATAAATTACGAGAATAGGAAGTAGAAGTGGCATTTCACCCAGAAATAATTGCGTGCTGCATTAATGCATTTAAAAGAACATTAATAAAAACAATAGGAAAATTAGAAAATAATGATTAATATTCAGTTGCGAGAGTAGCTCGGAAATCGAGCAGAAAAAGTATAAACATGAGTATGAATAACGAGATATCGGGATGAGAATGTGTACTTGTTATATCGAGCAATTACTTACGTTAATCTGAATTCATTGAGAACGGGACTGTGAATCAAAATCGCCAGCAAGAATCCATTGTCTTTCAAAACCTTCCTCGAGGCTCGAGCCTTGACGTGAATCCTTTGACTTGAGTTCTTCTTCTTCTTCTTCTTACTTTTTATTGGCTCCTGCCGCTTTTCAGCGGACAATACGGCCAGATTTGCCACTGTTTGTTTAACAAAGCTTGAATCACTGATCGCGTAGCGAAGTCTGAGTGGAAATTGTGATTGCATCAGCAATCTTCAAAAATTTATTCAGGACAAACACGTCCGAACACGTGCACGACAAGCGCGATTCTTTGACTTGAGAGTTGACTGACGCTTTCGATGCTAGGTCCCTCGGATGATTATTACCTAAACTAGCGACTTGATCGCTCTTCTCAGGATTCTTACCGTCATATGATATACGATTTTAACATTTTATAGAATTACCGACAATTAATTTAATTTAATTCATAGTTTATTTTTTCTATTAATTACATTTTTTTATTATTTATTCAACATATAACTTTTAGGAAACAAAATTTAT